TCGAGTTCTAATCTCAGAAAGTGCACAATCTTTTCCAATTTTAGGCAAAGCTGATCCTTTAAGTTTTGTTTAACCCGATGGAAGCCCACCAACCGTACTAGTCATGCATAACCTAGTATCGATAGATTGTGCAGGCAGTGAACCTCTGTAAGGAAGCAGATAGTGCATTCGGACAAAAGCAAAAGTTGGTCACGGAGAAGAAAGATTGAATGAATGGCTACACACAATGATCTGCACAATGTGCTCCACATTGTGAGTATGCAGAAATTGATGCTTGCCAGCTTGAAGCCCTATCCTACTGTTGTGACTTCTTCTAGATCAAGTTGAATTGATGGTTTTATAGTGTACAACTTTGAAAATCGCGAAGTAGTTTCAAGTATTTTCTTAACAGAAATGAATTGACAATTTTGTTGCTGTCAAATCACGGCTTGGATGTCCAAAGACGCAGCTTCAGAGTTACTTTGGCCTTGTCAACGTTGGCTATCACTCAACCTTCTTCTCTGGATGCTAAAAAGACAAAAAAATAATTGTTGGATGACAAAATTATCAAGCTACAAGGGCTACAGAAGCAGCTGATGTCATGAGAGAAAAAATTTGGCCATAGAGACCCAATAACAAGTGAAAAGTGCATTTAATAGCATTGGATGATACGGTATATATGTAAAATCAGCTATTGCTTTGGAAGACATGGTGCTTGAAGAGAGAAGTCTGTATGTATCAAAGTGTTTGGTTACTTTTGATCAAAATCATTTTTAAGATATTAAAGGTTGGGAGTATGTTTGATTCTACAAACATCCAACATATCAATTCAAATGAATTTTCTTGGAACTTTATTTGAAGTTTCTAGGAAATGGATAATGAGCTAGTAACGATTTGTGATTGCAAAAGTCCACTAAAATTTGCATTATACGTGTACAGGAACATGTTTTAAAACTTCGCGACGATGTGTTGTTGGTGCGTTCCGATCAGATAAAACAAAACTTGATGGTTCACATCAAGCAATTTAGGTTTTGATGAGATCTCATCAAGTAAATACTTCCATAGACGCTAAACATACTTCATTTCAAGATACTTTCAGTCATCCATCTTACTCATACTTCCATCTTTACATAGAACATTGTAAATTTCAAATGCAAATACAACTTAAAAAAAAACAATTAAATTTAAAGGGATGGAACAAATATTTGACATGTTTTATGAAAATCCAATCCACACATCACAAAGCTATTTTGCTATCAATCAATACTCCTCTATATGTTCATATTTATCATAAAAAACTCACATCCTTTGCACTATATAGAATTACACAAATATACAAATATTTATCATATTAAATGTGAAAATATGATAATATTTAGTTTTATTAAACATATTATTTGACTGCGTGAACATGGCAATGATTGAATATAATGCAATATTGACTACATAACACTTTATGAGATAATCTTAGACATTGCTAAAGCCATTCTTTATTATCATGTTAATTATGATATTATTGTGTCAATTATGTAGCCGCTATAGTTTCAATCATACACAAATGTTGAAGAATAAGTATGTAGAGGAAATTGATGAGAAATAAAATAAAATAACATTGGCTATAAGTTGAATAACATTTATCAGATTCAAATCACTTTTACTTCTTTACACTCAATAGAATGAATCAAAAATCTTTTTAGCTTGTACTTCTTTTTTTTAAATGATAAGAAAGATAATTAGATAAATAAAGATTTGATATTTTTGTTAATCAATTATGTCATGTATATTGATTTAACAAGTTTAATTGAGTTTATTGTATAAATATATTAAAAAATACAAAAGGAATGATACATGTAAGTTGATATCAATATAAATAAATATCCAATTAATCAATTATTATCTTTTTATTTATTTTTGTCTTTTGAGAGTTCAATTAAATACAAAATCTCACTTCACATGTTAAAAGTGTTACAAAGTATCTTTGAATGAAAACTCCGCAAGTAACATAGATGCTTCATAGTACAAAGTTTAATCTACCAATAGTGTCATCTTATATGAATGACAATGAATTCAAAAACTAATAGATTAGATTTTTTCCGTCTAAAAATAGCAATACGTTACTAATAGTGACATGATAATATCCAATAATATTAATTTCAAGTGTAATTTTGGAATTAAAATTTCTATCATGATCACAATACAAAGCCGTAAAAGTGAAATGTGCTATAATTTATTTAAACATCTATCTCAATAATTTATTCTTTTTAGTTTTTAGTAAAATACTTTGCTACATACGTTGTCATTGATTGTTTTTATAACAATCTTTAGTTAGTTAGAACTAAAGTAGAGGTTAGTTAAAATGTTCGTATAGATACTTTATTGTGCAGCAGTCATAGTTGTCACATCAGTGATCTGTGTGCTTGGTAGGTAGAGAGTAAGTGTTTTAGTTGACAACGTCACATCAACAATCTGCGTGCTTGTTAGGTAAGGATTGTGTCTGTTAGTTGGGAGTGTCACTTTAGCGATCCGTGTGCTAAATAATAAATATATAAGTATCAAAATTTTTACTGACCTCAATCCTAGGAAACAAACTCTGTTTTGGGTAAATGGTTATTATCTATGAGAGAAATGGTATTGATACATCGTGAGAAAACTCACATACTTTAGACTCATCAGGAAAGGTAAATTTAGACTAGCTTAAATGGTATTGATTTGAGCTTTTTGAAATCCACTCAGCTCTCAATAGACACGAAGTTTGGTCATTTTCTAACCTCAAGCTACTCGCAACGATTATAACAAGTTACCACCACGATGACCTACCACTTCTGCTTACAGGTAGTTGTACTAATTTATCTCAACTTGAATGGATGACATGTATGTTTGATGACTCTCCTTGCATCTACTTTCAAGATCTCCAAAATACACGTTCAACTCAACTCTTGAGGTCTTCCTACCAGATTTGGGACTGTATTTGAAATCAAAACTTTTACTGGCGCATAAGGTTAAGGTACAGTTGTCAAGATGAAAGCTAAACTTGCTTATTTTCCATATTCATCAATCAGATAAACGTCATTGGAAATGCATTTTCTGATTGGGCAAGAGAAGTGGAGGATTAGCCAAGAGGTCTTAAACATGAAGTGGAAAACTGGGTCTGAAAAGGCCTACTTAGAGAGAGATGTGACAACTGGTATTGGATGAACTGGAAAGACAATAGTGATGGAGACATCGGAAAAATGCTGGAGCTCATTAGGTGAATTGTACTTACTTGCCGTGACCTAGGACCATGTTCAAGTCCCCATCTCGATGTTATGAACGAATTTTTTCTCGTGGAGTTGAACGTGGTCGTTGAGTCTGACCTACTTGACAACTTCTTTGTATGAACGGTCATGGCGTTTGAGGGTCTGCGTGTTTAAAAAAAAAATGCTGTGCCCGAGCCAAAAAATAACGCGGATGGATCTATGTACAGTAAGCATGCATCAATTAAGGCGCAAGAACAAGCGGCCATCTGGGTAATTTAGGCGTCGCGTTGCATACGATAGCCTAAATTACGTATGCCTGGCTTTACTTCATTTACAGTACGATACAATAATCTCCCGGCTAAGTATGCAACTTGAACCTAAAAGGATTTTGCGCACTTAGCCCGGTAGGTACGTACTTTAGAAGAATGAGTCCGAGCGCTCCTAAAGAAGCTGCGATTTCTACGAAACCAAACATACGGAAGATGCAATTTGAAATGTTTGATTACATGTCACAAACTTAACGCGACACAACGCCACCAAATCTATGCTGTATATTTTTACGTTTGAATTGTATACTCACTGATAAATACATTTTTTATTTTCTTATCTGAGAAATAAAACTAGTCTGCTTCCGGTTCCGAATGAAAAATACTGACCCATACCATAAGTTTGGGAGGTTGCAAATCATGTATATGGGTTACCACAAGCTTACAGCTTCAAGTATGAAAGTAGTTATGATGTAATAAAAAATAAAAAATTAATACTAAGTACAATGATAAAAGTTATGTCTCTCGGTATCTTGTGCGAAAACCCTTCATCTTGTTTTAAAAACTAGGAAGGGAAGCTCATTTGTGTTCTTTCAAAAACTCGAAAGAATAATGATAATTTTTTAAACATCACTAAACAAAGACGCTTTTCTCATTTTATTTTCTTCTAGATCTTCTCATTGGCTTATTTATGGTTAGAGTTTAGCACATTCATGATGTTGCTCTAACTAAATAAAATATCTACTACAACGTACTCTATTTGCTGTGCGGTATGCACAGAAACTACTGATGGCCAGTCCAGTGGATCTCCGACTTATGTTGTCTGGATACACATGAGATTTGGATGAGTCGTGCTCTTCACTGCCTACATCTAATCCTTCAATACAATTTTCCTGAGTCCTATACTAGTGCTTTGTATATATAGGTCGCCTTTAGAAAGCTCTTTTTGAGAACCTACGGAATACTGTTATCTATCAGCGGTTAGCGAGATGTGCTACAGATTTAGACCAAAGTGAGGAATCGGTCATGCGGAAATGCAAATTCATAAGTAATGTGCTAGGATTTAGTGTAACCTGCCAGTTATATAAATACGTCCTGAGGCAGAAAATATCATTCGAAATGTAAAACTAAATGTTCCATGTCGCAAAACTGAGCCTCCCATTAGTGTCAAAAGACGAGGAAAACTTCACACCTGTATGCCAGCCAAAATTGGGGACCGTGGAAATATTTTGTATACTGCACGTCCTCCCCGACCCTTTCATGGACATGAAGCCTACTCAGATAATGATGGAAAGAATATAACGAGCAGCTTGGAGGTGAGTAACCACAACAAGGTAGTCAACGTATTAATCAAAACAAATTTGACAGACATTCTCGACGTAAGTTACAATAGAACATGGTCGTCAACACCTGAGCACAACTATGATAAACATATACACACAAAGCAAAGCAGAGCACAAGCTTAACTATATTGAGTACACTGTTATAACTGAGAAATATACATCAAGTTCGTAAGGACGGTGAAGGACAGGGCAAGTATCGAAACCGAAAGAAGAGAGTAAAATTTTAAAGTATAAGTGCATTATGATTGGACAGAAGAGTACACACTTTTTTCAACAACCTGCTGTATAGAACACGGTGGGAGTGCTTGCCAGTCGAAAAACTAAGGTCCAGTTTGAAAAAACTCGTACTGCTCTGTCCTGCACCATCCTTCTATCTATTGACAAAAGAAGAGGGCAAGATCTCTTCCTCCCACCAAAACCAGATGCAAATCCATAGACCCACAGCTTGACAGCATCGTGACAGCCACTGCTTCTAAGGGCTTTCCAAAATGCTGGAGTGATACCACAGAGCTGAGCGTAGTGTTTCGACCACACAAGAATCACATGCAGAAACCAAATGCCAAGTACCTGCTAATATATGCGGTACTTCAGCGGCACCGAATAGAAGCAGTGCGAACTCGGTGAGCATCATATCTTACATGACATCTTCGCGTATAAGCAGCCGCAGCAAAAGGTTTGCGAGCTGCAACTGCGCTGGTGGTTCACCACATTCTCCTCCTTGGACCGAAGCGCGTCCACTTTCAGAAGTTGGATATGGCCGCCGGCAATGCCCAGCTTGCATCAGTAGGGCCCTTGAGCCGATGCAATGTCGTAGTGTCTCGACGAGACCAAGGCTAGAATGCGATAGCATCACACAGTCCTGTAAAGAGCTGAAGGCAATCTCGGAGTGGCCACTGCTTGCAAAGGCTTGAGCATAAATGTGACAACTCCGGGGCGCTCCGTGAGATCGATGTCCTCGGGGCGCATACCCTCGGGAGGAGACCAAGTGAAGTGATGCAACAATCGTCCCAACATAATTTGAACCAGAACAAGCCCGAGCTGTGCGCCAGGGCACACTCTTCTGCCGGCGCCGAAGGGGATAACTCTGAAGTCAGTACCTTTAATGTCGATATCCTCCTCCAGAAATCTCTCAGGTCTGAAGCTCTCCGGATCCTTCCAAGTGCTGGGGTCACGAGCGATGGCGAAAGCGTTGACATGCACGGTCGAGCCTTTGGGAATGTCGAACCCTCCAACCTTCACATCTTCGGTCGCCTTGTGCGGGAGCATGAGGGGTGTCGGAGGATGCAATCGGAGGGCCTCCTTCGCAACCGCCTGAAGGTACGGGAGGTCGCGGAAGTCACCCTCGGTAACCACTCTCTCATATCCAACCACGTTGTCCAGCTCCTCCTGAGCTTTCCTCTGCACGTCCGGGTTGCGGATGAGCTCCGCCATTGCCCATTCCACCGTGATCGCCGTGGTGTCCATGCCGGCGGTGATCATGTCCCAAAGAAGCGTGATGACGGTGACCTCGCTGAGGTCGTATTGCTTTTGGAAGTTGAGCAGAGCATTCACGAAATGCTGGCTCGAGCCGGCAGAATCTGCGTCACTGCCCCTGTCACCACCTCCTGTGGCGAACTCTTGCATGATTGCCTTGGTCAAATTGTCACGCCGCGCGTTGTTCCTCGCGAAAGCCTCTTCCTGCAGAGGGAACATCCATCGGAGGTACTTGATGTGCTCGGAAGTTTTCAACGACGCGCCGAGCTTCATTCCCTCGGCGATGACAGCCTTGAACTCCTTCCCCTGAGCATCGATCTCCCCATCCTGGTTCACGAACTTCTTCCCGAACACAATGCGGGTGATGTTGTTGAAGGCGACTGCGGAAAGATAAGTCTTAACATCGACAGTCCCCGCTCCGGTTTGACAATCATTGTAGATGGCGTTCACCATGCCCCCAACCTCTTCCTCTCGAACAGAGCGCAGCGCCTCCAGCCTCTTGTGGGTGAAGAGCTCGAGAGTACAGAGCTTCCGGACCTTGACGTAATGCGGCCCGTAGTCCGCCCAAATGAGATCTTGGCCATTTCGGCTGAAGCGAGCTGCAGCTCTCGTCAGCGGTCGCCCAGACAGAAACTGATCTTGGTCTTTCAGCACCTCTTTCGCCAGAGCAGCTGAAGAAACCACAGTATTCAACGTCGTGCCCATCCAGAAGGAAAGAATCGGTCCGTATTTCTCCGCCCATTCCATGAAACATCGGAATCGGACGGGCTTGACTTCGTAGAGATTGCCCACGAAGGGTCGGGGACGGGGACCGGGAGCCAGCTTCTTGCTGGGCCACACGGCCTTCAGGATGAACAATAGAACGACCGCTGTGGCAACTACGACGGTGTAGTAAGTATCCACTTGCAGCCCGGCCAAATCGATCACGCCTCTGCTCGGCATTTCGTCGAGATCTGGTTCCGCCATCGCCTCCTGCTCCTGCTCCTCGTCCTTCTCCTACCTATTCATCCACCAGTGCGGGTCACAATGCAGGTACTTCACTCCTACAAATCGTAGCTCGACTGGACTCGCCACCCATTCATGATCGATCGAACTTATGCTTCAGCTGACTAGCATTCGAATCCGCATCATGTCGTGGGTTACTCACTCCAAGACGACGCTCGGTCTCGTCCGTCTGCAACCGGTGACAAAACGTGCTGAGCGAAGACCATCTCAGCGATTCAGTCTGGCGCAGATCGTGGAGCAATGCCCACTCGAACGACTTGCCTGAGGAGTCCTAACCTGGTTGCACACGAACGAAGCCTCCCCTCCGTCTATCGGCTCACGGTCACAATCAGTTCTGCGAAACTGAAGGTATGTCAGCGAGAGTGGTTAGCATACACACTACGAAGGTCAAAGTCGGAAAGCTCTAGGTATAATTCAGTACCAAGGAAGAATTTCACAGCTCTAGGTATAGTCACCAGCTAACCGCAGTACAGGACAGCAAAAGGTTGGTGGGTTGGGGTGCGGTGAACTTCCTTTCGCTGTCTTGGTGGTCTGAACCAAGTTGGCATGAACTGCAAGCCCGTCTGAGACACGGCATGGCGACGACAATAATGGGGATCTTGCTCCAAATATCTCGTCGTGGCGACAATGACAGACAATATATACTCACGAAAGATCGATGCAAGAAATAAGTATTTCTCGGTGGGACTTGAGAGTCTGGACAGCAGCTACACTCACGTCGCCCTCCTATCTATACTGAAGTCTATCTATCCACGAGCCATGCTCATCAAGGCAAGCTGAGGCATTTAATATATAGAGTCCACTGACATAGTCTATATTTGTTGTGCATTTTAATAGCACCTTTTTGAGATAGAGCACATGGGCAGTTTTCAGATGTGGGGACCAATGGCATTCTCGTTCACTGGGAATACAGCTGAAAAGCACTGATTACAGAAATGACATTAGCTCTTCCAGATCCAGCTACCTTTAGCTTTAACTTGAACTTCAACTACTTAGACTTCATTGATATTAATTGCTCCTTGACCTCTGTAAGAGTTACTTACCTACCGAGTTAGCAGTAACCGCGAAATTCACCGGTGACTGCAACACTGTACGCACAATTCTCTGGGTGTTGATTCGTGGCCAGAACTCTGGTCTGGACAAATACTTTAGATGCGTTTCCGCGGTGACTACGAAGGGACTTAAGGGAGTAGTCAACTTACTGTGCTGAGGCACATGTAAGTAAAGACAAACGGAAAGAATAAGTGTCGGAAATTGGTCATCAAAATTTTAAACTTGCACCCTACAAGTTTGATTTCCTGCTGGAGTTGATTTAAGTGCAATCGAGTGAACACAGGACTGAGGATCACAGCCAAGAGTATCAGAGCAAGCAAGAAAAGGGCCCAAGCACAGGTAAAGCGGAGAGAAAAGACAGTAACCTCCCGGTTAAATACAGTAAGAATTCCGGATAATTATGCACTTTTTTCTAAAAGAAACATGACTCCCCTTTTCATACGACAATACTGAGAGCTAGGATTTCGGGTGAATTAAAACATCAAGTTTACTTAATTCAACATGTCGTGAATTGTCATTTGGTGCAACTTTTGAAATTCTTTGAGTTTTGGTTTCAAAGTGACAGCCCAGAACTCTTTTCGAATTTCTGAGAATAGAAACTGATACTCTCTATCAACAACTTGCTTGTAACTTGCTAAAATCCCTTCAATACAATGTTGTTTCCTAAATCCGAATCTGAATACCGGGAGTCAAGACGTTCATCAACATTTTCATCATCCAGATTTTCTTCGCAATCTTCATAGTCTCCAAAAAAATTTCAACTTCGTCCAAAATATCAGCTGTAAATATTTCACTATTTTCATCATGGACATGAACAAATTCTTCAAGCTCTTCTTGCCCAACCTAAACATTTAAAGCTGCAATAGCTTGTGTAATTTTGGTCACTGAATCTTCCATCTCTTTTCACGGCTTACTGATTGGCTTTCAATATCATTAATTCTGCATTAACAAATGCATTTTTAATAGAGCTTGATGACACCGATTTCCAAGCTTTTTCCACGTAACTAGCAACATTGAGCAAGTGAGTTGAATTTTCAAATGCAATTCCAACAGCAACATGTTTCAATCTCTGTCCCTGCGTTCTTAATTGAATTTTTGTCTCCTAATCCAATTCATAAAGGTCAAGAACATCCTATAGATAGTGATATTTGAAGCCTTAAAAAAGAGGTTTAAAAATATTCTTGCGAGATGTGATTATGCCCTAATTATAGTGATGTTTCCAACTTGTGCAATCTGCAGGAAAGAAGATATACTAATATTGTCGCATTCAAAAGACTCAAAGTGTCCGAGTAAATTGTACATCAGCAAAAAAAACCCAATGTATGGTTTTTTTTTTATCTCTAGAAAAAATACTTTGTTAAACCACTTCCAGCATGTTTGAACATTCATTCAACTTTCATTTGACTAATATTGTGTATGAAACATGTGATTGATGGTGTTACAATATACAAATACAAGCCTGTGCTTTTAGTTTATCAATCAATGTGTGAGGTATTTCGTGAGCTCCTATAACCCTAACACAAACAATAAGAGAAATTTAATCATTGATTTAATTTTTTTGGCCTCTAGTTTTTTATATGTGTTTATTGCGCATAAGAAGAGTGTTTCTCAGTAATTTGCAAAAAAATAAAACGATCTTGTTCATATTGTAGACGTTTTGAGTATCATTTATTGATTTGGATTATAATTGCATAGAGATTGGATTAAGCTATCAATAATACAAGACCAAATTTATTGCTTTCACTTACTCTTTGTGAAGTAGCATCATATGCAATCCTTAGCGCATTCTGAATCGCCTTAATTATTTCCAAGACAACTTGAAATCAATTTGTTGAAAAATATATTTGTTGCAATATGTTTTATCATGGTAATGGCAAGAGATGGCTGAAACGAGAGATTTATATGACGCATGTCGTTAATACATATATAAAGCATGTGTTTTAGTTCAAAATAAATGATTAATAGAGGATCAAATAATCTTCCTTATAGCTTCATCACACATGAAGACAGAAAGTTATAGAATTTATTGACATTTGCTTGACACTTTTTTTAGTGCTCCTTCACTTAAATCGTACGCATGCGCTAAAGATTTTTTTATTAAAAACATTCTTCTAACTTAGTTTCTCAATGATATCGCATCTTTAGAACACTTTGAGACATTTAGCGATTAGTTTCTTTAGCATTGCAACTTTGACAAATTTATTGAAAAGTGTAGTTTCAACAATAACAAGCACTTAATATGAACATTTGCATACTTGCTCGCTTGCTACTCAGCTACAATCATCCGCATTAGCTCTTGTTCACAATAAAAACGATTGTGAAAGAGAAGATAATTGTTGTTCTTTGTCATCGTTTACATCATCAATGCAACACACATGCATCTCAACAACAACTTCCAAGCATCAAAGTAATTTTTCATCATTTGCATCATCAATTCAACAATGCATGCTAGCAACAACTTACTAGCGACAAATGAACATGCTAGCTATTTAACACTCGTGTTATTCAATCAATCAAATCCAAACAATAAACTTTAATAAGTCCAAATAATAATTATGTGCAACAATAATGTGACATATGCATTGTAAAGACATGTATGTTTAGTTGGCAAGAACACTTGTTTAGTTGGCGAAAGTTATTGTTTGTCTTAAGTACGCACCTCCCGGTTAGGTACGCAGAATTCTCCTAGAATCAAGTTGCGTACCTGGAGATCACCCTATTTGATAACAACTTAATCATGCTCTATTGAAGTCGTTAACTAGTCCTCTGGCTTGTGTTGCATAAGCGTCATACTTATTTTGAAGTTTTGCAACCTCCAAATGGAAGACAATTTAATGTGGAAAAAATGTGATGATTTTTTTAGATATCTATCAACAAATGTTACACATTTCAAAACCAGTTTCCACCAATTCTGATTTATAGTATTATACTAGAATACAAAAACTAATCAAAGGTTCAAACAAACACATGATCTCTAAGCTAATTGGAAACATATATAATTGAATCATCATTGGTAGTTAATGAACATTAGCTAGTCAAATCTGTTGCATATCATAAATGAAGATGAAATTCAATTTTGTTTATAAAATCATCATTCTTAGTTGTTGATACCAACATTTATTGGAATTTAATGCATGTAAACAAAAAATGATGCTTTAAGAAAATGACACATCACAAAAAAAAATTAAGTCAAAGAATTGCATCTGAATCAAGCATAATCATTAATGGTTCATTTTAGTTGATATTTTATCAAATTCAGGCTTACTCTTATGAACATATATTCAAAAATATGATCCGCCATGATAAATTTCTCTTTATATACAATCTCGTAACATATTAATGTATGAAGAACTCAAAAAAACTGCAATGAAGAAACTCATCTAGAAAATATTGTAGATACACACTTGTAAGATTTCCATCTCAAACCTGAATATAAATTCCAAACACTTTTAATATTTCAAAAATTGAGAGAAATTATGTGTGTTGTAAATTTGAAGTCAGTATTTGAACGTTTTGTTATATAGATCTAATGATACCAAGTCATATAAAATATTTAATATAATTTTGATAAAAACAGTGAGTTATGTTGCAATTTTTTTTATTGAAATGATTTCATGAGCAATGAAATTCTTTTTTATTATGTTAAAAATAATATTATAAAGAATATGTACATCGATATATATCTATGACTATTATTCTTAGGGCTCCGATCGGGTTCACGTAAAACCCGCAAACTCTAGTTTGGATCGGATCGGATTGGATATTGAGTAGAGTGTTTTATCCAATCCAAAACCTTATATTCAATGAGAATATGAGAATGAGGGGAGCGAAAGAGAGATCGGCTGGTTTGCTTGCGGCTAATCTAATGTTGCTTTTCCCTCTAGAGTGAGTGTTTGGAAGCAACTGTCGTGTACATCTAGGCAGGCTGGATGGAAAATTTGTTTTGTGCAGCTAGAATGCAAGGAGACGGCAATTTTTTGTGCAATGTGAGTGAAGCATGCTTTTCTTTCCTTTTCCTCAGTCCTCATTGTCAAGAGTGCTCGAGTGTTTGAAGGTCAAATTTGCCAAAACATATAACACTACCTCGAGTAGATATTCCTTTTAAATTTCCTCTATGTTGTTTACAAAATTTTGTTCTTTTAGGGTTATAGTCGATTTACTTGCTACTTCAAAACCCGACATGAAATTTTGATTCATCTGGCTCCTCATGGACAAAATTATCTAAAATATAAAAAATTCACGGGCAAATATTGACTCTTTAATGATTTTTTATTTGTAATAAAATTCAAATTTATTTTTTGGTTTTTTTTGCCATCCTATCTGAACTTGAATTATGAACATTAAGTTTTTTTTTTATTAAAAAAATTCATTAATGTTGGAGCCGGGGGCTCTGCTGCTTGTGAAGCGAGTGCTCGTCTTCTCAAATCCCTCTTGATTTACCTGCCTTCCTCCTTCTGTGTGCATGAAAAGAGTGTGGAGATGTTGAGAGGGATTGGCTAGGGAAGAAACACGACACAACTGATGTCATTTCATGATTTCTCTCGCTTGTGCAAGCCACAATCTCACTTTTGTTCTTGCTTTGTAACATCTTGTGCTTTCTCTTCTTCTTACTTTCCTGTCTTTGTGCTCAAAAATTCAATTGCTTGATGATTTTTGAGTCTAATGCATTAATGAACTCTTGATGTGA